ATATATATATATATATATATATATATATATATGTATAAATATTTAGTAGATGGTAAATATACTAGCAGATACTATTGACAAAGCCAATAGCTGGAGATTGTTGGATAAAGGGGGGAATCAGGTTAGCAATTAACTAATTTTCTTTCCTATTCCAGGAACCTAATATGACTTTTAATGACATGGCCTGTCTATCTTTCCTTTCTTTGACATCCCTCCCACATTAAGTATATCCTTATTCCATAGTTTCCACCATTAGTGCGATGGAAGGAAACACTGATGAAAGCTAAAACTTTGCCCATCCCACAGATAGATAAAAGCTCTGATCCAAGTCTAATACCTCTCTATATATTTTACACAGCGAGTCAGCAAATCTGAAGACAGAGAAAGCAGATAAGACCCACATTCCTCGAGAGAACATGTCTCTGCCTTCCAACATGCAGCTCAATGACCTCAGTGCTTTGAGAAAAGGTAAGAGTTCACCAATTAGGCCAAACATTGTAGGCTCAGACTTGAACGTCTGGAGGGGCGACACATTCTCCATTTGTTGGAAATGTGAGCATGTGCATCCTCAAAATGGAAAATAGAATGTTTCACACCAGAACTGGTATCAGGTATTAAAACAAAACATATTTTATCGGTTCATACAGGTATGTTTCTGGTTATCCAGATTCAATCATTAGGTGTTTTTGCCCCCTAGTGGGTTTATCTGGATATACATTCTGCCACAATAATGAACATGAGAATAACAAGTTGTAAACACTCTTTCTTTCTTCCATTTGCGGTTTGTGTTGGGTTCTGTTTATGTTATATATATTACTCGTTTTTCATCTATCAAATAGTGATGTTTTCATAATCAGGGCTTACATAGATTTATACATATATACAGTATATACATAGATTTAAACATACACACACACACATATATATGTATATATATATATATATATATATATAGTTATGGTTATGAAAAGAGAGAGAGAGAAAGAGAAGTTGCAATAATTTTTGAAAGATTGTAGTCTTTTTTTGTGCAGCAAATTCAAATATGTTTTTGTAATAAGTTCCATTTAAAACGTCACTTCGTAATTGTCAGCGTTATCTATAAATTACATGTGTTTGCATTGTATCTCAATATGTGTCCAGACAATAAACCAAACTTGGGTTTTCTTTTTATGTTGTGATTACTGCAAACTGACAAACCTGTTGCAGAAAACTTTTCAGGTGCAAATGCTCCAATGCAATAGGACCCAACTTCATTTTATTTCCAAGGCCGAGAATGGAGGTTTGGAGGGATTTGTTGCATTTCAGCACACTGCTAAATGGCTTAAAAAAAAAAAAAAATAACAGCTTCCATTTTCAGCTGGTTGGCTTCATCTGGCTGCCACTTAGCTTTAACATGCAGTCATTATCATAGAACTGTATTTTCCCAAAGCTGTCCCCCAGGAAATACATCCTCATGTCTCCACTTTGCTCTTTGTCCTTCATCTTTTCCGAATCACTTCTTTCAGCCCGAGAGGCTGCCCAGCAAAACAGCGTGGGAGAAAAGACGGAGGAGGAGGAGGAAGATCTGTCTTTAGCCTACGCAGCAAGAGGTCAGCCATACACTCATTGAACTCATTTAGATTTAGAGCGAAAAGATGAATGCTCAAGTTTCAGGGCAGTGACGATCTAAAGTCTTTTTCCTTTCTTTTTCGGAACTTTTTCCCAGGTTTTGCCAGATATCCAATGGTGGGCTACATCTATAGGGTGAAGAGCACAAGTAGTGAGGAGATCTGGCTCTGACTGACCTCTGCGGGAGGGGCTTTGTATGTGCATGCATAGGTACTTCTAACAACGCAGCTGTCTCAGAGAAAACCCAGAGCAACTGCCACTCTGCCCATTCAAACAATCATCAGTTACCTTTAAGATGGAACCAGGCCCCAGAGACTGAACTTGAATTTCCAAAGCAAAGACATGTTTTTTCCCCTTGTTTTTTAATCTTAAAGTGAAACAAGTGCTCAGGTGTTTGCACAGTTAACATCTTGTCTCAACGATGCAAAGTAAAGCAACATATTTCGTGTAAACAGATGCTAATAACGTAGTCTCCATTGTTGCATTAATGGAATGCATTCATACTTCTACACTAACCAGAACGTTACTTGTTGAACGGTAGTATCTGAATAAGATGGTGCATAATATGATATATATCATTGTCTATGTATATGTGACATGCCATCTATTTTACATTTATATGCAAATGTATATGTGTATAAAAGAGGATGAAAATAAAGATTGTATGCAAGGAAATGCAAATCGTGGTGTGCTTTTATGATGCACTCACCAGGGGGTGCTGTGAAGTGGTTTTCAAACTGGCACATGTGGATTATGTGACTCAGGAGAGTGTGATTTAAAACATATCAGCCATGAGAGTTGAAAACATGGCTGCATTTTCTGAGGAAGAAATGAGGCAGTTGGCTTTCTTTCTCTTTTTCAAAAGCAGGTGCAGGAGAGGAGCGGTGCCGAACTCATGGAGTGTGTTTGTGTGTGTGAGAGCCAGGTGTTAGCTGTGGGTCACAGGTTGTTGTGGCTTTTCTTTAAACAGGAAGCAGAGTTGTGTTGTGGGATCACCTCTTTTGTGTTGTGCTGTGAAGGGAATGGCAGTCTGCAGTGCACGCAGAGGGAACAATTCATCACAGCATACCGGGAATGAAAATATTCACCCAAACATGGACGGGTTGGTCCTTTTCTTTGTTTTACCAGCTGCTCATTATCAGCACACATTTCCCAGAATGGCGGCATAACAAGCAGTTGGCGTCAACAGGCTGATTGGTGGTATCAGCTAAAGCTGAGACTTCATTTCAGTTGTCAATATGATTTTCCCTCAATGAATGTTGATCATGTTTTTCCAGGAAAATTTGAAAATGATCAACATAGTGGGAGGATGTGTCAGTGGTAATGACTTGTACTTTAAACATGAGTCAGCCTGTGTTGGAACGTTTCAGTGTGGCTTTTTTTTTCTTGTGCCAGATTGTGCCATTTATGGCAAAAAAAATAAACTTGCAAAGAGAGTGATGGTGACGTGAAAATACTCCAGAACACGGGTAAATGGTCTAGTCCCGAAAGTGTTACTGGCAGAAAGTTGAGCAAATCTAAATTAAGAAAAAAAAAAACATTCAATTGAAACAAGCCAATCACACTTACTTCCTCCTCTCTCAAACATGAAAAACACACACATGCACACACACACACTGAACCCCATCGACAGCACACAGTAACAACCCAGGCACAGCAGTTCTTTGGTTCAAGGTCAGTACTTTCATGAAAAATTGCTTCTGAAAACCATTTTGTACTTCTGACTCTTCTCTTCTCTGCCTTTGTGTGTTTTTGACAACAGCTAAATGTCTTCATTCCCATTTTAAATTTTTGTATTCATCTTTTGTTCTAAAATAACTCAAACCTAAAGTTAGAAATAAACCCAAAGTTCGTATCTGACGTATCTAACAAGCGTCACTTGAAAAGTTGCTTTTCGTCACCAGTTCGTTATTGAAAAGTCAAATAAAATGGTTGACATTAAGCAGAAAATGGCACCCTTCCGGTTGTCTGTAGTATGCATGCAGTGAACTGAAGTGTTTCCTTCTGTCGTCAGTAGAACAAAGAGGAGTGAACACGAGATGAAATATTATATACTGCTGTTTTGGACACTGACAGGTGGGTCACTCTGATCATTTTTGTTCAATATGGCTTCAAATCAAATGAACATCTTACTGTACATGTTTAATCTGTATGCAGACTTTTACAGAAGGCAGTGACGTCTTAGAATGTTTTCCTTGGTGTTTTTTACCTTTACTGAAATATCTGTATGTTTTACTTCTGTTTGCATATGTTTAATTCTCTCCATTTCCCCCTGAAATGTCCACAAATTAAACTAGTACCATTTCTGTCAAACATACTTCAGGTTTGAAATCGGAAAGCTTCATCTTCTCTTAGGTTTACGGGAATAGACAACTCTAGTTAAACTCATGGTTCATATATGTATACAAATAATATTGATATGTTTACATACTGTTAGCATTCATCATTACTAGTTGCTTTAATATTTATGCACTGTCCTTATTAATACCTGTGTTCAGCAGTGCAACTCTGTGCTCTGTTATGCCCACTGGTTAGTTTGTTAGTCACAAAAGGCCCTGTGTATGAAAAAAGTCAACTGAACATTCAGAAAATTCAAATTTTCATCCTTTTATGGTACCACAACCCCTTTAGGCTGGACCATCAGGTGATCTAGAACCTTAAGGGATACCGGTCTTTTCCTCTAGAGCTTTTCCGCCATATCACAATAAATTGCTGCGCCCACTTTGTCATTTTTTGTAGGGCATCTATGAAAATACACAGATAAATGGAATTTTATTTGTATTTATATGTGTGAATATGAGTGAACAAATGTTCCTAAAGTGCTGTGCTGTTTTGTTTTACAATTTCTCCAGCAGCATCCGTCAGCTGTCAAAAAGGTAAGAACACTCTTTCTAAATTTTATTCGGAGTTATTCAGAGATTTCACTGAAAACTTTGCAAGAAGCTTACCGAGCATTCCAACAGTGCTGATTGTATTCAACGTATTGTTTCCTTTTCCCAGCACAAGATAACGAAGTACAAATAGACGACATTCCAGATGGAATTAAGTTATCATGTAAAGACGCTGATATAGAAAAACCAGATGGGACAAAAGTAAAAGAACTGGAATTAAGATACCACAATGAAAACTCAGGAGTGTACTCATGCAGCGAGACATCCAAAGCTCATGTGAAATTTCGGAGTAAGTTCTGCTAAACGGTTTGGACTTTAATATTGTGAAAGTAAATGCAATTTCAATTGATTTCATATTTGCATTTTCACTTTGACATGAATGTTTTTGCAAAGTTTGATTGTTGTTTATAAGTAATAGCCCTTTAGAAATAGCAGACGTCACCTGAATTTTTGTGTGTTGCTCTTTTTCTTCCAGCTTGCGACAACTGTGTAGAACTGGACATGAAAGCAATTGCTGGAATTGTGGTAGGAGACGTGGTGGCCACAGTTGTTGTCGGAGTGGCCGTTTACCTCCTCGCTTCTAAAGCTCAATCTGGTCCAGTCCCCTCGCACAAGAAAAGTAAACTGTCTATTTATCTGTACATTCTCCGGTACCGTTCTTTTATGACCTCTGTATTAATGGAGACTGCAGAATAATGAATCCAAACTGTTGTTGAATAGTAAAAAATGATCAGTGCTACTTCGTGCAGACAGACACTTGGTTTGGTCGCAGCTCAGACCAGCAAACTGAGTTGTTCCTTTACATTAAAGGGTTTTTGACATTTAAAAATGCTGCTTCAGCTAACAAATTCCATTTTTTTAAACAGTGTCAAATTCAAGTTTGTTACTACAGGGACAAATTAGTACATCGGCAAAATGGAAACAAGTAATTTGATGGAAAATCTAGCCAACTATGGAGTTAACATAAATTATTCAGTCGTTCATGGTTATAAGCTGGAATTCATGCAATATCCTGCAATGATTTATGGGCAAAACCATGTCTAAGAAGTACTTATTGTTTGAACCCTCATTGTAAAGTGTTACGAGGACTTCAAATGTGTCAGTTTTAAGATATTTTAACCACCGCTTTTGCGTTGCCCGTGTTTAATTCCATAGCTATCTGGCTGAATTGTAGTTGGACGCCACTAATTAGAGGTCATTGTGTTGCCATGAATGTTCCGATTTAAGAGAGGATCATAAACAGATGAATTGCTTCACCAGTTTATTAATCCTAAAATATTATAGCTTTTTAAGCTCGACAAATAACTGTCAGTCAACAGATTTCCCCAGTACATATAGAAAAAGGCTAAATCATGAAAAATGGTTTGCTGATGTGCCTGTGAGATGAAAGAATAGAAAAAGCGTTGAAACAAATTGAAAAACGTGTGCAAAGAAAAAAAGAGACAGAGCCAGCTAATTGCAAACAGACCGAATGTTGTGGCCTGACTTGATAGATTGTGTTTGTCTTTACCATAATCATTTTATAAACCTTTATCCACAGGGTCTGATCGACAGCCTCTGGTTCGTAATGATGCCTCGATAACATCAGATAATGACAATTATCAGGTAAACTAAAATGCAAAAATCTTTCAAAGAATGATTATGAATTTCGCCGTTTTATTTCATTTGAACTCTGTGCCTTCATTTTTCTACCTCAGCCTCTTCGCCAGCAGAGGAGAGATGAATATGATGTACTCAGAAGGTAAAATGGCCACTGTTCCCGTCCCCCTGCTGAAAACATGTTTTCGTATGAGAGGTGTCCTGGAGGGAAACGTCCAGTACTGGCTTCTAGTGGCTTCTCGTGTGTCATCTGTTTTGGATTACGATTTTTTTTAATTATCCATTTTATTAAGGGGGAATTGTATGCATTTTGTGTGGACTCGGCACATTTGTTTGTAGTGCTTTTTTCTTGACTTTTATGTACCAACATGAATTGTACATAGATAAACAAGACAAAAAAAATACATTGTTTATGTTTCAAAATGACAAACTTGTAGATAAATTAAAGAAATACCATAAAAATAATACATTGTTCTGTCAATCTTATTTTTTTGTTACAGAGGTACCCCCGCTCACCTACATGCTCTCAATCTATAGAAAGTGAGAAGGGAGTGATTAGTTATTCACACATTGCTTCTCAATTTTGGCTCAGTTTTCTATTTCTATTAATTTTTTTCTCCATCTTTTCTCCACTCTTGTACCACCCAGCATCACGATAATCCTGATGGTGCTCTGGCTACCATAATTATGCCGAACACATTTTCCTCACTAAGAGAGGTTTGACAAAAAAGGTCCAATCATTGTTTATTTCTTTATTGCAGCTGCGATGTTTTGTCCATTATGACACCAAATAAAAACAAGAACAGAGAAGGAAAGAAAGAAAAAGAAAAAGAAAAGAAAAGAAAAGAAAAGAAAAGAAAAGAAAAGAAAAGAAAAGAAAAGAAAAGAAAAGAAAAGAAAAGAAACGAAAAGAAATACTCAGGAAATATTTCAACCAAACTTACAAATCCTGATAGCCAGCTGGCACACAAAATCCCACCCACAAAGAGATCAACGAAAAAACAAACAAACAAACAAACAAACAAACAAAAACAAAACAGAGACAGCAGCTGCGCTTGCAGCAACAATATGACATAAAACTGTCATAACGGCAACACAACTGCTGTATTATGATTGTATGCGTGTGTGTGTGTGAATAGTAATATAGTCATATAGACACAGCAATAGCCACTGCTGACCCACAGCAGAGTAGAGCCTGTGTCAGAGCCCCCTGCGGTCATGGAACTAACCCTTGTTTTTGAATGACCCAGTGTTACATGTTTTGTATTCAGGACAAATAAGTATCTTATATTTTAGAATCCTGATAAAATCTTCAAACTGAGAGAGGCCGGGCTTTCTTTCTCCAGGTGGTCGAGCCCTGTAATGCAAGCGTAACGGGTGATTCAAAATAAGGCATACTGTGGAGATAACTTGATTTTAAACAATTTGATTTTTTTCAATTTGTAACTAAACTCATCATATAAAGAAATGTTTTCGCGAGTGAATGAATTTACTTAGACTCAATTTATGTAAAAAACAATAATAACAAAAGAAGAGTCCAAACAAAACATCCTATTTCAGGAAAGAAAAGCGGTGGTAATTTGACTCTAATTTGAATGATTTCACACAAGTGACATTTCTAAAGCCAGCAACTTAAATTTTTCCTTCCCTGAAGTTAGTCTTTTTCTGTTCTTTTTCCTGATTATTCATTTTCATGAGCAAAGAAAAAAAGAAAAAAAGAATAAAAGAAATCAGTTTGGTGTCATGTGTAAAGTGAAGTATCATTTTTCATTTGCACGGACTTGATAGGGCTTTGTAGAAATCTAATCGCACCAAATTTGAAATAATCTGAATAAGTTCTCAGCTGCGTTTTAAAATCTTTGGTGGCAAGATGAAATATTTCAATCAACTGAGAGGGAAAAAAAAGGGAAAAAACAACAGTGATGTGTATTTTCCTACAGCTGATTGTGTGGATGTGAACACTTTTGTGAGTCATTACTGCTTCAGTAGTCAAAGCATATATAACATGTCATGTTGAAAATGAAACCAGTAAAAAGTGTGTTCTTCATTTTTCTAACTGCACTCTGAGTCTCATTTCATTCAGTCTTTTGTACAGCTTTAGTACTCAAGATATAGAATTACACAATAACTGTGAAAAGAAACACAAAACAAAACAGAGGTAAAGGTAAAAAAGGGGCAAATGTTGAAACAGTACCAAAGAGAGGTGGAGAAACTCAGAGGCGGGCAGTATCTGACTGATTCTAGATAGATAATCTAATGGCTTAAACTCCTCCGATCTGGGCTGGTTTTCCTCTTAACGTCTGCTGTATCAAAAGCTATACCAGCCGCTGTGTTTTTTGAGCGGAACCAAAGAAGAAGATAGAGATCAAACAATGGAGCTCAGCTGAGAAACAAAACCCCACACCAACCCCGACTCCCCCCCGACCACATGCACACGCGGGAGATCATGTGAGGGTGTCTACGTCTGTGCACAATCCCTCACTCGCACAGGCAGATGAGCAGATGTAGGCCCCGAGTGTGTCGGAGTGGTTTGTCTTAACACACTTGAAGAGGAGAGCACCTCATTTCTAACCTCCTCCTCCTTCACGTCTCTGCGCTTCCCTTGAACAAACACAGCAGATGTAAATTCAACCATCCAAGTGCCAAGTGTGGGAGTAGTTTCCACATAATGCCGCCCTTTTAGGCTGGCTGTATCGCGATAAAGATATCAATCGTGAATAATCTGCACGAAAAAAATACTAATTTCGTAAGGTTTCCTGCTTTTCTTTTCCAGTGGAAAAGCTGTATTCAATCACTGCTGGGAAATACACATGGCAGAGGGCAAAATGACATGACAAAACTTTTCCACTGCGTATCTGAGAGAATGCAAAGCCCAATAATGCATAGAGAAATGCTGAAAACATATTTCGGGGAGCACAGAGGGCTGAGCGAGGCGGGCTGGTGGTGGTGACTGTATACTTTAAGGGGTGTGCGCTGCGGATATGACCTGCGGGTTTGAGGCTGCTTGATGAATCACACATAGCTGTACATCTGTTCAACCATCTCAGTCTTGTTTCCATCCGTATTCAAAGAGACAAGTGAGAAAAGGGGTTGACTGCGGTTTATTTCATTAGTGACACATTACAATTACAAGAAGATCAGAAGCATCAGAGTGAACTGAGAAGGCAACACACAGGCAGAGAAGGTGGGCCAAATGTTTGTGTAGTTTGAATAAAAACAGCTGAAACACAAGTGTTTTGCCCATTCTTGGCGATGTTAGCAGAAGGATTTACAGCAACAGATCTTTGAAATGAAATGCTATAATACAAAATTCCCTTTACTGCTGTGAGTTACAGTTAAACAGCACTCTGCGACATTTAAAAAATATAAAATATTTGTTTATAAAAAGCACCATGTGTACAGCATGTATCCACAAAATCCACTTTACTGGTTATACTGCAGATAGAATAAAAATCCTTTTCCACACTTCTACTTTTAGCCGACCATCACTGTTCTTTTTGTGGATCTTATTCATGAACAAAAGGCATAATTACAGCTCTGTGTGCTTCTGCACCGCCATAAAACAACAAAAACACACAAAATACGTCACAACAAAGCCACCTCGGATCAGCGTGCAGTTTTTAAGCGAACTGATGTACGGTAAAGGCCTTCTATGGCAGAGCAGATGTTTTGCATTGTTTCAAAGAACGTTTTTCTGGATAATGTGTGATTATTTGCGTAAAGCAGCTTCTTGTTGCCGCTCTGATGAAGTCTCCAAACCTTGTCGATGATATGCTTGGGTTTGTATTTGAAAGTTCTGGCTCACGGCATTGAAATACACCCATACAAATAGTATTTGGAAATGTTATCAAAATTCAAATCCCTTGAAAAATTGTGTTCAGTGGGATTAAAAGTGGTGACTTCATGAGATTAATACCTAAAAATAACTTCACTGTTCTGAATCCAAACTGCCTGACATGACCCTGGAATTCTTTTTTTACCTCTTTTTTTGTACATTTAAGCAACGATCAGGTTAAAACCTTTGAGTAAACTTTGCAGGTCTGTTTGAACACAGTTTCCCATTATCAATATCATGAATACAGTAAAAAGTATTTTACAAAAGAGGGGACAAAAATTACATCACTTATAGGGCTTTAAAATGGTTATATGCTTACAGTAGCCTTTTCTTAATAAAAAATATGAGACAATGAGAAAATATGAGACTGTTGCAAATGTGCTTCAGCTCAAGTAAAAGCTCATATTGAATGCTAAAATTCAAACGGGGAGGTTGGAGGAGACCAACCACCAGAATATAGCCCAAACTGCTCGCACGCTGCACACAAATCTTTCTCTTTTATACTTAAATCACTTGGTTGGTTATAGTCAGAGATATACGGTCAGCATTACATATCCTAAACACATAAACACAAAACACAAACATTTCCATCATAAGCTCTCTACAGGAACTCTTTGCAGAAAAAGGGGTGATGTAATCAATTAAATCCTGATGTATACCCCAACAATGTTGCCGTTATATCAATGATCTGGTGAGTTTGGATGGCACATTCTATCCTGTCCTGTTCACCACAGTTGAGTAAGTATCCGCTGACCGGGTCTGTAAGTTCAGTGTCTGTGAAACACAAGCATAAGGTTCATTAATAAGACAACACGATGACACTGCGCGCTAAAATCTTCTAATCGCTGCTATACATTTTATTTCTAACGAAGAGATGAACAAATGAATAATGATTTAATTGAGTTGCCTGGTCTGGAGTAACACTGAAACCCCTGAAAAAATGGCAAAACAGTCCAAAAAGATAACAATGAACTCAACTAAAAACGTTTTTACTTTACAATAACTGGATATTATATCTGGAAATGAAATGGAACTGGAGCATCTAATGCTGATAATGAAGAACATTAAGAAAAGATAGTGACTAAATGAATTATCGGCGTCACGTAACTATGCTTTTGCAAAAAGGTGTTTGGGATAGAGCCTTTTAAAGAAATAAAAACCAGTAAGCATAGAAGAGGGGTTTTTTTTAGCTAGAAATGAAGGCCACGCGGTTCGGATCTCAGATAAAAGAGACCATCCAGACTGTTCCAAACATTGGTCTAAAGATCAGCTCTGTGATGGAATGGGATGTGTCGCTGCGCCTCATTTACACCTCTGAGATGCCAGTATGAAAGCAGAGAAGTTATTTGAGCTTTTACAACATGCGCTGCCTTTAAGACAGCAAGGCAAGACACCTGCAGCTCTAACCTCTGCTCTATGGAGAGCCGGTGGAAGAAACTAAACGACCCCATGCTGTTATGCACCTTAATTAGCATTAGTACAATGTAAGAAAAGTAAGGATGTGATTGAAAATGAATGTTTTCAACATAAGAAATTCAGTTTGTAAGATAGAATATGGAATATCTTTGGTTCATGTAGTCTGTTGTTAAATTTGAAAAAGGAAGAACGAAGTTATTATTTAGACTCAACAGAGTGAATGAGGGTTAAGTAACATGGTGATCACTAAAATACGGATTTTTAAAAGAAATACAGAAGAGATCATGAAAAAGGACTTTTCTTTATGTACTGGAAAACGTTTTAAACATTTTCTTTATAAACAGAATCAGAATTTCCCTGCTCAGGTCACAATAATCATCCATTCAATGCATTTCATGAAAAGGTTTGACTCGTTTTTTATTTTTTTCGTTGTTTCCAGTCTCTAAGCAATGCTAAACTGTTATCTTCCCCTAAGCGTTGCCGTTGCTCCATCTTGGAAGGACAAATATGTAATGGTGGCATATTTTTCTCATCAAACCCATCAATATTTATCGTGGAAGGACACAAAGGATTTCATCTCAATTCAGGATGGGAAGACGACTTAAATGAAAAACCTGCTTTTGTAGGATTGAGATACATACCTCGTAGTCACGGTTGGGCACATTGGGAGGCTGGTTTCTGGAGTGAGCAGGTGCTAGAGGAAGTGAAAAACAATGAACATGAGCGGACATATTTGAAGACTAGAAGGTGTCTTAGTACTTACATGCAAAGGCATTGGTTAGAAAGACTTTGACAAGCGTACGCTAAAGTCTATTCTTACGTTTGGAAACGGGAGCGTGTCCATCTGAGCTTTTCCTCTTGGTGAGCTTGTAGATTATGAACATCAAAACGGCCGTCAGGACCACATCCAAAAAGATGGTCATCCCAAATATTTCAGCATCCAGCTCAAAGCAGTTTTCACACACTGGAGGGCAAAAATGCATTAGCCCAGTGGCTAAAAGACACAGAGCTAACTTAAAAAGATGCTTTTACTTACCCTTTCCTTTCACGTAGAAATTATACTTATAGATTAAAGTTTTGTCTTCATCTGTGTATTCACAAAATAATTTGACTGGGTGCTTATATTCCAATTCAAGCGTTTCCTGGGTAAACTTGTCTTTTCCGTAATGCCATGTCCCAGATTTTGGACAGGTCAGGGTGACGTTTTTTTTCCAGAATTCTACCTTTCCTTAAAACACATTGACAGACATTGACAGTCACTGTTGTGCAACTGTTTCCAAAATTAATCATGCTTTGAAGAGTATTTTCTGGTGTTTCTCACAGAGAATCATTAAGACAGAGCACTGTTTACTTACATGTTAACATAATACAACATATATCCGTATATGAAACTCTTTCTTTTAAACAGCGTGCAAAAGACAAAAGAAGTGAAACCGTCAATGCACAGCAGAAGAAAACAAAGTGTTTGCCAATGACCACAGAAGACAAGAAACAGTGCAGCAGGAAGCATGAGATGTGTCTGAAAATGCCACGAATATCACATCAGGCAACTTAATATTAGATATTTTCAATAAAAAACTTTTTAATACCATTGGTATGATAGACATTTACCTTCTTGAGCTTTCACAGAAACTGTAGACATGAGGAAGACGGCAACAAGCATGGCCCGGGCACCCATTTTTTAGCAGGAACTTCTTGTGTGTCTCCTATCTTTGTAGATCTTTCTGTTATTTGGCTCCAATTTGTGAAGGACTCCGCCAGAAGAATTCAGTCCGATCAAACTGCCAGACCCAAAAGGTTTTAAAGTAGACCTGATGGTTTTCTCTCTGACTCTGTCAGACTAAGACTCACTCACTGCCAACAACTCACTCACTGAAACACAGACACACACACACACACAAACCCCACAGGAAGTGTCTTTAAAAAAAAAAAGATGAATTCACAGTTAAACTTCAAAACGAAGTCAAACTGATGTATAGTAAGCACAGACTCCCGTTTACTCAACTGTGATTCTCGACAAGTAACTCAGTAACATCAGTGCTTCTTTATCTTAACTGTTAAAGGTTATTTCATTGCACATTTGTTAACTTTAAAATGCAAAGTAACTTGTGTGATTTTGTGATCAGTAGGATTGACGACATTGTATGATACAATGAATTTGCATAGTTCAACAGTTTTACATAGATACATACTTTTCACATATTTGCACATACATGTATTAAGTGAATATCAAAGAATCCTGACATTACAGATTCTCAGCTTTTAGATAGAAAAAGAGATTAAACTTCTTAATAACAGAGCTGATATACAGGCAAAAAAAATACTAAGCAGGGAGCACATGGCTGCAGTCTAATGACTGTTGTTGACGGAAAGTTTGTAATCCTTTATACGTACCATTATTAAAGTAAGCCACCACTGATTATTGCTCCAGCATAGCTAGAATTTTCATTGCAAGGTTGTGAAAAATGATTCCCCTGGCTGAGGTGTTTAAGATCCTTGGACAAAGAAATTATTCCCTTTTTCAGTTCTATGGTTTATAGAGGGTTTTATGTGATCAAACAAGACAAAAAAGGAATAATTTGGTCCATTAATGTTGTATCAAAGTAAATGGAACCTCAGCTGAATTGCTCCGAGAGAGGCCGGACAGTCTTTTGTTTTCTTCCACAAAAGCTCAGCCAAAGCACTGAAGCACTTCTAACTTTGCTTCGGCTCACTGAGAAGGAGAAGAACTCAGGCTCGCTACTTGAGAGAAGAAGATGTCTCCCAAAGCCTTCTAGAAAATGTCTTTCTTTATTTTTACTGTGCAATAATATAAGGTTTAACATGTCTTGTAGAGTCTGAGATGGATCGCTCGGATTTTGTTGCAAGCTTCTCTGAACATAGCTCAGTGTGATCATTGGGGAGATTGACAACATTATTTCTTAGCATTCACATATTATTTGTTCTTTAGCAGGTGCTTTTATCCAAAGTGACTTACAACGCACAACGTTATTATTCAGGTAAGCTTAGGGTAGCATGCACGACCCAGCCTGGGAACCCCTTACTGGATAGAAGCCCTACTTAGGATTTGAACCACCACCCTGTATAATTGTTCAAACTACTGTAATTGTATGTAATCACATACTGTAATTGTATGATTTCTTAGAACAGATTTATAGGAAAACCGAAGGTGGTGCTGGAGGTAAAAAATTATAATTAAGTTGTTCTTCCGATTTATTAAGTGCCTGATCAGGCTGTGTTTGCAACTTGACATATCGAGGTAAAGACACTTCTGAAGCACGAAGGCCGCAACAACTTTGAATTTGAAACGCGTTGCTTGGACTTTAAACTCAAGAGCTTTTTAATTAACCCAATATCAAAGAGTTAATCCCCATATTCAACATCACAGGCGGCCTGTCAGATTGGTGCAGTCTCACAATTCTCAGCAATATACCAAGGTAGTGCGCATAATGGTGCAACTCTGCCCCCACGTGGTTCGAGTCAAGAAATTTAATTTGTAGAAAAATTATAAGCATCTCTAAGCTTTTGCAATCAGTGTCTGAGGTGCAAGGAGGAAGAAGATGTTCAAAATTCCGATAGAAAAATCCTATTAAAACGCACTTCATTTGGATTTTCTATGTCAAGTTAGGATTATGTATCGAAAAACAACTGTACCAGGTGTTTTGGGCTTTGTATGTTGAGGTTACTGTAAAAAAAAAAAAGTAATCGTGACTGTCAACGAAACAAGGGAAGTAGTTTAAAAAAATTACAGTCACGATTGTGTAATGTCACCCGCCATGGCCCACACTACAATAAAAGTGTGCCGTGCCAAACCAAATAGTTTAAAAAAAACTTTTAGCATTGTTTTAATAAAAAAAAAAAAAGCCCATTCATATTATTATATTAATACCTCCCAATGTCTGTCTTAAGCTGACGAGGAACCCGTTTAATTGGCCAAGTCTGCGCAAACGACTCAGTGATCGAGCGCACATGTAGAGGCAGAACAGGTTTGATGAACGCTTACAATAAGTGAATTGCCCGGTTTTGGCGGAACATCCCAGAGGGAGACGAGAGGGCGGCGAGGGAAGGAGACGACTTTGTTACTCCGCCCGAAATTGTGGTGGGAGGGTGCTGAATTGAAATGCTTGAGGGCAGCGAGGAGTTGGGACGCGTCTTTGGATGAAGAAAGAGGTGGAGAAGAGGAGTCGCTGTGACTTTTTCACCCTTCTTTTTGACTTTTTACAAGATTCACTTTGCCTGTGAAACGGCAAAGTTGTTTGTGGTGGAGTTATTTGGCTGCACAGATAAAAAAAAACCCAACCAATGTGCGTAAAAGGGCTCTACTTCCTAACCGTCCTGTCCGGACTCGCAGCTTCAGGTGAGACCCCCGGTTTCGCGTGTTTGAGAGTGTGTGGATGATTTTTGGGGTTGATCACGTGTGATTTATCCACATTGGTTGTAAAGTTTTGCTATGGATTATCTGGAGAAATTAAACGGCGAAACAAAGTGACAGTTGGTAAGTAATAGTAAAGTAGTTTTACGCCTGGGTGTTCCAAAAGTCCTCCAACGAATATGCCCCAGGAGTCCTGTTATTCTTAAGACGTAACAGGAAGGCCATTACAATAAGAGATGACACCAGTCACGGAGTTTCAGAGAAAAGATAAAACACTGATTGCCCGTCCATTAGTGAGAGTTCCGCGGGGACCCCTAACCTCCATCTCAGCGCGTTGTCGTGCGTCATCGGGAAGTGGACAACTTGGCATTGTGGCACCGGGTGGACCGTTTAAGAAAGCCTGCGAACGCAATAAAGCAGCCACAGTGGGGCTCCATTCCTGACAAACTAACGACTTTACAGTATTTACCGACATCAGATGCCGGATGTATTGTCTTTGTGGTTTCTTGCAAGCTCCTTTCCTGCCTCTTAAAGTGCATCCGTGCTTGTGTTCGCGGAGACTGTGGAGCAGCCAACTGGAAGCAGATAAGTCCACCTGCTTCCCATTCGCGGGGGGCCAGGAAATGTCAGCTGGACAATAACAACATGTCAAATAAACACTGAAGTAAACAGTAATGGGATCCCACCCGCTTATTAAAGCCACTCACTTTCAAAAGCCGTGTGCGCCAGGACTAATGGAACATGTTTTAATAGAGGGAATTGGCGTTATCAATGCTAATTCATTCAAGCAGACCAGGTTGTTTAACCTTGAAGTCGCCTAATCTAAGACCATCCGGTTAAGTGGATTATATTGATTGAACATTTCCATCCACTGCCAGAGCACCGTGAAGAGGTTCAGCATAGTGGCAAGCTGCTTATGTTTACAGCGAGCATGTGCCTGTAAATCAGTCATAATGCTGTTGGACTGAGCAGCGGTAAGACTGAATCTGATATTTGGACACAGGAAGGATAGAGCATCATAAAAGCATCATAAAGCAGCACGTTCACCAGGTTGGAACCGATGGCATGCTCAGTGACAAATCAGTTCTCAGGACTGTGATGCTTTCATCTATCCCGTTGCCTCTGGCCTAATAGTGCTTCCAAAACAGCAAGGATTGATGAAACCAGAACATACACACACACTGTGTTCATAGTCAATTGCAAACGTCTGTGCACAAATAATTGATTAAAGCTCCCAGTACAGCCTCCAGTAAGCAGATTGAGCGACATCAAAACATCTGCTTGCTGCTGTTCCAGTATATGCTTCGTTTAAGGAAGACATGTAGCTTTCACGTGCACACTTGCTGCACATTACAAAAAGCTTATTTATTTATTTTCAAGAAGAGAGACCTGACATTAAGAAGTGAGTCCTTTTACACTGATCCCCCTGCCTTTTTTGCACTTTATCACAGCGATTGAAGCAACGGCGGAAAGCCAACATAAATGCGTTCCTCCTTTGTGTAATGTTTCCTTCAGTTCCCATCTCTGAACACCAATCTGTGTCCAGATAGATTTTAAGAGCAGGATCTTTGCTTTCAGCCTGTGACCCTGAATTGGATGAGACAGCTGTAGAAAGCAGACCAATGGATAGATTTCTGCTTTCATGGCTTCAAAATGGAAACGGAGAACGTCCAAAGGTGCAAACGTTAGTTTCAGATCTCCTTTGTGCACTTCCTTGCTTTACGCCCTTCTTGTTTTGATGTTACATGACAGTTGAGACCTTTGTGGAATCAGTCTGATTTAATCAAGGTGACCAAATAACTTTAAAAAAAGTACCCAAAAATTTTTTTATCTACTGACATCGAATCATGATATTCTGGTTTGTTTAGCATCAGCATGATTTATTATACTCAATACCCCCTTGTGCTGGAAAACCTTTATTGTGTTGCCCAGGTTTCCATTCTGCTCTGTCAGAAATTGAAACCATGTGAGAGGAAAAGTTGGGCATTCAGGGATCAAACTCCAACACACCCAGTTCCACTGGAAATAACTCGGCCTGGACCGAATCTCGTTCTTCAAATTAAGTCACAAAAATAAACTGAAACTTTACCGCATGCCTTTTTTTTTCACGCTCCCATTTCTGGCAGCGACACTGTTCATGCAAACCCCTTTTTTCCAGTTTGAGCATCGGCGACATTTCACATCCTTTCCAGAGTTATTCCATCATGGGCCTACTCGTCTTTCTCACGTCCTCTCACCCTGGAAAGCTAATTATGGCAGATTTAATATGCATCACCAGGGCGGCAGAACTTGATTCGAGTTTCAACTGACGTGGAAAACACTATGAATCGCTAGTTGTGTTGTGGGAACCTGTTTGGCGAGGATTTTCATGTAACTGACATTGATTTACATGTTAAATTCCAGCACTACAGGTTTACAAAGTGAATAAACAGCACACCACAGTAGTTGTTGCTGTTTTCCACTGATAGGCGCTTTAAAGATTCTCTTATCTTGAGCTGATAAATAAAAAAATTACATC